GGCGATCATGACAAGGAGGACGTCGCCGATTCTCAGGACGTCGTTGCTGTTGCTGCTGCTGGCGCTCTCACTGGCCCGGTAGACATGGAGGCCGAGGCTCCCCTACCACCAGCGAAGCGCAGACGTAGGGCTGGACGGAAAGCCATCACGAAGGGGAGTGGTGTTGCGCTCAAGATGCCCACTCCTCTTCGTCCAGTCCAGGCCCCCGTCACACAGCAGCAGCAGCAGCCTCGGGGCAGCATCGCCAAGCGCAAGCGCAAGCTTGCAGAGGTCATCGAGGAGTCGCCGTTGGACGCTCCTCAGCCTCCCAAGGATGCTGCAGCCGCTGCAGGTGACAGCGGCGTCAGCACCGTGGAAGGAAGCGCACCTCCACGGAAGCGGACGCGTCGAGCCACCCGGATGGCCGGCGCGGAGGCCAATGCCACCGCTGCTGCTGACGCCGTCGCCGATAACAACCCGGTCAAGAACCATCCCACCGTGGAACCCCCAGTGGTCGCGACGGAACCGGGCGGCGAAGTCACCCTCGCAGCTCCCGGGCAGCTTGCTCTCCCCCCCTTCCCGGCTGACAGCTTGGAGGGGTCCATCTACTTGGCCCAGCATCAGGTTATGAGCCGTGAGCTGGGTCGCCGGATCGATGACTGTCGTGTCAAATGGACCGCAGCCATCGAGGCCCTTGAGTCTGCTCGGCAGCTCATGGATAGTTGGTTGGAGCTTTGGAAGAAGGGTCAGTAATGGCCTCTTTTTTAACTTCTCTTCCAAGGTCGCGGGAGGGCTTGCTGGCGACGTTGCCCTCGGAGGCTTGAATTGAAGATGGAAGATTGGGGGGGTGGGATTTTTATTCTTTTTTTTTCCTTTTCGTTTGTTGGGAGGGTGGTGGCCTGTTTTGTTTTGTTTTGTCTTTTTTTTTGTCTTTTCTTTTTCTTTTTCTTCTTTTCTTTTTTTCTTTTCTTTTCTTTTCTTTTTTTTGGTTCTTCCTGTATTGTCTGTCCCTCCCCTTCGGGGTGATTGGGACAGACATTTAGTTCTGTATTTTCTTGTTGTTGTCCCTTGTCCCCCCACTCCGGTGAGGATGGGACAAGGGACGTGTTCTTGTTTTCCTTGCCTGTATATTGTTAGTTCATGTACGTAGTTTTTGTCTTTCTTCTTTCTGCCCCCCTAGTGGGTGTCCCGCTGGTAGGATGGGCAAAAGAATGAAACCTTCGTTGGAAAATCCTGAAAAGGACAAAGTCCTTCTGAACTGATGTAGAAGTAATAACGAGTAATGTTTTTCACTGGCAGCATTGGTGTTAGTCAATGACTGGTTGGGATCCCGTGGGGATAGATAGGAATAACGAATGCTTGTGATCAAAGTTGCTACGTTACATGGTGTACTCCGTACGTCCCATGTAACTGAGCTGTCGTTTCGAAAACACAAGGGAGGAGGGAGAAAAAGGGGGGAACAAAGGATCATTGACTTGACTTCTTCAATTATCCAAGACAGGAATGATCGATTGACCTAAAAGGAAAAAGAAAGGAGAGTCACAAACGGTCAGTCGAGGAATTAAACTGCTCTTCACAACTTTTTCTTCGAGGACGACAAAAAAAGGGAATTCAATTCAGATAATTGACTCGAGCAAGCAAAAACATCAACTTGGGATCCTCGATCTCTTCCCCTAATTAATGTCTGTCCTAGAAACAATGCTTGCGTAGGCCGTAGTGTAGTGCAAGC